GATTTTGGTGCTTATCCTTTGAGACAGCTTTCTGTCTAGTACTTCATTTAGTTTTTTTTTTTTTTAAATATATTTTATTGACTTTTTACAGAGAGGATGAGAGAGGGATAGTTAGAAACATCGATTAGAGAGAAACATTGGTCAGCTGCCTCCTGCACACCCCCTACTGGGGATGTGCCCGCAACCAAGGTACATGCCCTTGACTGGAATCGAACCTGGGACCCTTCAGTCTGCAGGCCGACGCTCTATCCACTTAGCCAAACCGGTTAGGGCTTCATTTAGTTTTAAGTAACATTTTGTTTTGTGTGTTTTAAATAATTGATTTTTAAAATATATTTTTATTGATTTCAGAGAGGAAAGGAGAGGGAGAGTTAGAAACATCAATGATGAGAGAGAATCATTGATTGGCTGCCCCTGCACATCCCCTACTGGGGATCAAGCCCATAACCCCGACATGTGCCCCTGACTGGAATTGAACCTGGTACCCTTCAGGCCGACTCTATCCACTGAGCCAAACCAGTTAGGGATTAAGTAACGTACTTGGGTTTTTCTATTAAGGCTAGACTAATCTGGCTATTTGCAAATATGTGCGATAAGGTTTTTTATCTTTAGTGGTAGGTTGATAGGCATTTATTTTCAGATTTGAATTGTGGTAATTATGTAATCTGAAAATTGTAATTACTGGTTAATTCATGATCTCCTATTTCTTTCTCTAGGGTTCTCTATAAAGGTGTTTTAAAAAGGCTGATTTCTTTATATGAGCCATTGTTTGGATTGCTTCAAGAGGTCTCAAGGATTCAACCATTGCCTTACTTCAAAGATTTTACCTTTCCTTCTGATATTGTTGAATTTTTAGGACAGCCCTATTTAGAGGTCTTTAAGAAAAAAATGCCTACAGCTTTTGCAGCGAAGGGAGTAACTAAATTGCTAAATAAACTGTTCTCAACAAAAGAGCAATCACTGAGATGCAGTGAAGAAACTTCACATAGGATTTCCAAAAAAGCTAATCAAATGAAGATCAATATACAGAATAATGTGGATCTTGGACAGCCAGTAAAGAATAAGAAAATCTTCAAAGGTAATATGCTTTGATATAGCACATACTTAAAAAAAAGTTGAAATTACAATACATTCATGGGTTGTGTAGAAGAAATCCCATACCTTTTAATTTTAACACACATTGATTGTCTTCAAAGAGGTATGGTAATACCTGTGTTTTCTAAGTTTGAATATTTAAATTGTTTGTTTCTGTTGTTTCATAGTTCTTTGCTTGCTTCCTCTACTTCTTTTGTAGTAATTTGGCAAGAAATATTGTCATGCACTTAAGAATTTGTTGATTTGAAAATAGTATACCTAAGTTTTTGTATTTGATCTTTCCATCTCCACAGCAAAGTCATCAGAATTTGATGTGAGGGCATTCTGCAAACAGCTGAAACACAGAGCTATTCAGGTTTGGCTTAATTTATTATAGCTTGATTTCTGCTAATGTATACAGTAGATGCCACTTACCAAGGACAGAGATGAAATCTTCTGTTTTTTATCCCTAGCTCTAAACTTAGTACCATCTTAGTTCTCAGTCTGCTTATGAATGGAGGCACTCCAAGGGATTTTAGTGCGAGTTAATTCAGTTAATAAAGTGCCTTCAGAAACATTTTACTGAGTTTTGCTAGAACTTTAAAGTGACCCTAGGATCCATTGTAGCTGTGGATTATACTGTAGCTTAAGAGAATGGGCCTTGCAGTCAGAAATGGTTTTAGTCTTTTAGTTTGTACTAGCTGCGTGACCGTATGTAATTTTCTTGACTTGTTCATATCTCTATTTTCTAATAGTATGTACCTCATGGGGTTGTGCCATTTTAATGCAAGTGAAGTGTTCAGCATAGAGTCAGGAGTATGGTAGATACTTAATTGGTTCAGTGTCATCATTATCCTCCTCATCATGAGGCTTCCATTTCTTCCTGTCCAGGTTCAAACTTTAACACGACTCCTCTTCTTAGTCAGTGTCCGTAAATTCTTTTTGTTCTGGATCTAACAATATGTATGTCAGTGTCACCCTTTCATCTGGTAACTACTTGACTTCTGTTACCCTTTGTCTTCTTAAAATTGTTTTTTTCTGGTTTGCTTCATGGATTATTTCTTACATTCTATTTAAGAATTCTGTCATTTCTAATGTTAGAGTACTTTCTTGAACATTTACAAGGCTTCCAGTTTGCATTTACATTATGTCCAATTCATGAGTTCCAGAGGGAGGAATAATAATAATAATAATGGCTAATACATACTTATATTGCATTTACTCTTTGTCAGGCATTGTCCAAAATATTTTAACTCATACAATCCTCACACAAGTCCTGTGAGATAGGTGCTATTATTAGTTTCCATAGTTCAGGTGAGAAAACTGAGATACACATAGAGATCAAGAAACTTGCTCAGGCCACGTGGCAAATATGGGCAGAGCTGGGATTTGAATGCAGGCAGTTTGGTTTCATAATCTGTTCTTTACCCTTTACACCAGCCTCCAAAATAGTTTTTTCAGCCTTGTTTTAAGAACTGTGGTTCTCTGTTATCCTGACACTTCTGTAGTCCATCCACCTATTGCTAGGTTTTGAAGTTGGTTGGTCAGCATCCCTCTTATTCATGACTATCACTACCACATTTTTTAGCAATTAGCACTAATATGCTTAGTTTGCTTTCAGATAAGACTTATCTAACAAATCAACACAAAGCATTGGTAGGTTTCTACTTTTATATTTTCTACTGGTTTTTATATTCTTGAGGATAAGAAATTTAGAAGAAGGTAAGCTTTGATTGAAAGATGGAAGCAGACCTAATATGTGGCATAACTTCATAAATAGTATAAGTTGATAAAATTCAAACTTGACTTGATACAGAAAGGTGGATTGAAGAGACAAAGGTGCAACATCAAAAGATGGTTGAATTGAAATTGAAAATGGTACTTAGTTAAGCATTTTAACATATGTTCAGCAATCATCCCTGTCTTCATGTGTCTTCAGTAACATTTCTAACCCGTCACTGAGGAGGGTGACTCGGGGTACATAAGGAAGTGAAGAACCAGTTGTGAGAGGCCAGTAGTACAGAGGAAAGGGGCTCTTCATTGATTTTTCCCCCATCAGATAGGCTTTGACCAATATTTAATCATATGGAGTTTTATTCTTATGTGTGGGTGAAAGAGGTATGTGTTAGAATATTTATATTGTTTCCTGTGTACAACTGAATTCAGCTGTAGATGGGATCTATTTATTGTAGCTCAGAGGGGGACAAATTTTGTGTTAGGAGCAGTGAATAAAAAATTAAGTTTTTTAGGACAAAAGGAAGGTACAGTGAACTAAAAAAGGTTTCTCTTTTTTTAAAAAGACTGATTTTCAGCCCGGCCAGCATGGCTGTTGGTTTAGCATCACCCTATGAACTAGGAGGTTTGATTCCCAGTCAGGGCACATGCCCGGGTTGCAGCTCAATTCCCAGTGTCACGCATGCAGAAGGCAGCCAATGATTCTCTCTCATCATATTTCTATCTCTCTCCCTCCCTTCCTCTCTGAAATTAATAAAAATATATTTAAAAAGACATATTTTCAAATTTTGATAGTCTGAGTCAGCTTTTCTCTATTGTCATATATTTACAATTCAGTAACAAATCACCTTTCCATATTTCAGAAGGCCAGCTTTGAGTTTAAATGTCCTCAATCCCAACTAAAGGCAACGAAACATTCTTCTCAGAAAGTGACAGGAACTCCCTGTGCCACAGCTTTTGTGCAAAGATTCCAAGAGGCTGAGACTTTCATACAACTTTCTGAAGAAATCCAAATGGCGATTCTGTGGTGCAGGAGCAAAAAACTCAAGGCTCAGGCTTCCTTTCTGGGCAATAAACTTCTTAAAAGTAACCGCCTTAAACATGTGGAAGCTCAAGGTTATAGGTAGGTATATTACAACAATTATGTTCCTTTTTTTTGTTGTCATTTAGGGCATAAGTATATATATTCAAGTCAGCTTTCTTTAAAATGGCATGTCCAGTAGCCCAAGGGGGGCTAAAAGTGGAATATACTTAATCTGTAATTTTATTTGCTGCTTTTGTTGGGAAAAGTTATATCACTGGGAGGAGTAAACTTGGTTAATTGAATTTATTCATTTATACTTTTCACCATTCCATCCATTCATTCAGAAGCATTAGGAATGTCTGGGGATACAACTGTATGTGAAACAGACTTAATCCTCACAGGATGCTCGCTTTAGTAGAAATGATGGCCAGTCTTCCCACAGCTTTAGAGCAGCAGGATGAGTGAGTGAGAGCAGACGCAGAAGGTGCCTGCCTTCTACAAGGGCACACACCACACTCTGAGGTCAGGGTCAGGTAATGTTCGTTCACAGGAGCTAGACTCTCCGTGTACTGATTTCTTACTTTCATAGAACTGCCTAAGGATAGCATCTTTGATTGTGAGCCAGTAAGTACTGCTTGAAATAATACATGAAATTAGACACCTTTTAGGGCTTTATTTTTATTGAAAAAAATAATAGATGCTCATGGTAACAATATCAGCCACAAATGGCTATAAAGATCCTTATTCCCCCTTCACAGAGGCAGTCCTTCTGACCAGGTTTTAATGTATCCTTCAAGCAATATTCTGTGCATCCACTATAATTTCTTATCTATAGTTAGACATATATCTATTCAGGACTTTATAATGGTTCCCATTTTGTCTAAAATTTGTTTAATTTTTAAATTTATGGAAAAAATATTCCCATTTTAGTAAAAAATTTGATATAGTAAGGGTTTTGTAACGAGTTTTGATTAAAGGATATGGGAGAAATTAAGTGTTCCTCAGGAATAAATTTCTGGAAGGGTTTTCACACTGGGATCCCCACAAGGCCTGTCCATCTAAAAGGGATCTCCTCAGGGTGGAAACAGCTGTAGATGGAGAGAATTGTCCTGCTCAAGACTGGATTTAATGTCGGAGGTAAATGAGGAGAGATGATAATCATTAAAAGTTCATGAAAAGGATAACAAACTGGTATTTATTTGGTTAAACCATTATTTTGTATTTCACAAATATATAGTGTGTTTTGCTGATCTACTTCGTGCCCACAGTAATTGTGGGGTAGGCAGTATTATCCCCATTGTATAGGTGAGGAAATGAAGGTTTTTGCTCGGGGTGTTGGAGATCTATAAGTCAATTCAGATCCTCTGATTCTTCTGTTTTCATCCTTCCCATTTTTTAAAAATACATTTTTATTGATTTCAGAGAGGAGAGGGAGAGAGAGAATTATTAATGATGAGAGAGAATTACTGATTGCCTACCTCCTGCACTACTGGGGATTGAGCCCACAACTCAGGCATGTGCCCTGACCAGGAATTGAACTCTAACCTCCTGGTTCATGGGTCGATGCTCAACCACTGAGCTTTATTTCTATTTCAACTGGGAAATATATCTAGCCTCTCCCCACTTAAAAATCTCTGCTATATTAAGACAAGAAAAACAGTTTGGAGACAGATCATGAATTACTAACATAATGGGCTTCCACAAAGTTCTATATGTTTAAAAAGGAAGAGGGGAGGATGGTTGGGCAGGAAGTACAGACCCATGCTAATCTTTTTGAAATCTGACTACAGCAAACAGTGAGGCAGTTAGCAAGGTACCAATGCACCTTGTGGCAGTGCATCCTATTCAGAAGCAAAACACCTAAATCAGCTATTTGAGTTCTGAATTCCCAAACTTGAAGATGATATAGATGAATCACAAATTGGGTAGCTCAAGGCTGTTAGTTTTGTGTGCCAGAAGCCCTGTCTTCTCATTCTTTATATAAACTCCTTCACTTTTATTCCTTTTTTCTTGTTCAATTCCTGCTACAACAGGAAGTTGTTTATCCAGAAATGGATGAATGCACCCTCACAGACTTTTTTCTATTTGAGATACATCCTTTCCCCAGTTCCACTTACATATTTTCAATGTATTTTACGTATTAATTACATTATGAACAGATTAGCAATTATCAGGAAAAAGCTCTGGCACTAAGTATGGAGGTATCTCACCACTAAGCTACCTTGCTAGGCAGTTGTAGGAGCTACTTTACTTTGGGACTATAATGGGGACACATTTGCCTACACCCTGAATGAGGGAAGTTGTGCTCTGAAAACACAGATTTGAGTTGAAGCTCCTATTTCCTTATTTTTCATCATGATTCTGGGGTTGTACACAAGAATGGGACTTAGATAAATTGTGTATTTTTCTGTTGCAAGTTGGTGAAAAGGAGACAAATTAAAAGTTTTTGAGAGTGTTTTCTCTGCCACTTAACAATCTCAAATTTTTCCTTTCTCTGTCCTTTAAAGTTTGCCCAAGAAACTAGAGTGCATAAAAACATCGATTTGCAACTGCCTTCTTCGTGGCTCAGATAGCAAAACTTCAAAGCATCATCCGAGACTAAGAAGATCACAGAATAAGTTTTTACTGAGACAGAGAAAACCACAGAGAAAGTTGCAGCCGGCGCTTTTAAAGGAAACTCAGCAATCCCCTCAAGGGACTCAGAGTTCTACAGATAACAGTAAACGGAGACTCTCACACCATGCAGTTCATAAAACTAATGTCTACGCTAACAGTAAGCAACTCTTGAGTAGCAGAGCTTCAAATCCTGTCATACAAACTAAGGAGAAACAAAATCATGAAAATCTTACAGGAAGCAATGAAAATGAAAGGGATTCATGGACAATGATGCAGATAACTAAACATAATACATCAGGAAACATTAAGGAGACAGATGACATTGATGATATTTTTGCTTTAATGGGAGTTTAGATACTCATCTGTGAGACTTTAAGTGATTAGCAAGCTAGTCCAGTGTTCTGCTGTTTTAAGTGGAACTCCTGAAATCTGGAAAGATCTGAAAGCACCATTTGGACTCAAGAGATTTACTGCAACATTGATTAGCAGTTCATTTCAGTTCAGTAAACATTTCATTGGCAGATGTTAGACTATTAAATAGTCCAATTTGCCAGGTGTTAGGATGAAAAATCTATATCCTGCCCTTGAAAAGCAGCTATCCTGACTGAATCTGGTAGGTCCCTGAAAAATAGTAATTTTATAACTTACCTGGGAATAAAGACCCGAATACTTAGGTTTGCAAAAACCTACTCTGAGCCTACGAAAAATGGGGAGTGGAGGTGGGAAGTAGCAAGGAAGCACCTGAAAGACCACTTTGGCCTTACTGGCTCCATTACAGATAAGTCCACTTCTGAACATCAAAGTTTGTAGCTTCTATGGTAGTGCTGTCTTGTTGATACATTAAAATTGATCATTAAAGGAACTCAAAAGTTTTGCCAACAATTGTATTACTAGGGACAGGCGCAACCATTATTTCACTTTATTTGTTCACCTTTTCTCATAGAAGAGGATATTAAAATGCTTTTGGAATTTTCCAAGTTTGTGGGATTATTTTGTTTTATTTATGGGGTGTGTGTGTCTGATTCTGGAAAGGATATACTGTAACGTGACCCAGGATTATACATGAAATACAACAGGATAAAACCAAGTAAAAGTAGGTGAGAAAGGTAAATGAAAAGATAGAATTAGGAGACACAAAATAGACCCGGATATGAGGCTAACCATATATTTATAATTTGGGACTGTTGCTGTCACCCGACATTTGTATGTTGCTTAATTGTTCCAAGAGGGTAAATCTTACATATTTTCAAGCAATGGTGTGAAGTTTGAGGTAATTTTTCAAATGTTCTAGCTTATTAGAAAGGTTAATAAGCTCTTTGTTAAGTAGGTTGTAGCTTTAAGTTTTATGTTATACAGACATAAAAAAAAATGAAAATGTTTTCGTATATACTGCATCCTTTTCCTCAGCCATCCTGTCATTCTCTTTCCTTTCCCTTCTTTATCTGGCCTTGCTCGTTCTCTTTGTGCTTCTGCCCATTTCCCCTTATCTGTACTAATGATTTCCAAACTTTAGGCTGTTTGAGAATCACCTAGTGGGTGGTTTAAAAGTGCTGATTCCTAGTCCCTTCTGAAGAGATAAACACAGCCACAAAATAAAGCCAGAAGTTTGCAATTTTAACAAGGAGCCCGAAATGCAGTCAGATGAATATTGGTTTAGCTTCCTTTCCCAAAAGTTGAACACCCTGATTTAATGCACAGTTCTTAATCAATCTTGAGTGACTTTTCAGTTTCTATTTCGCCTAGCTTCCTACCAAGTGGTAGTAGCTACTAATGGCCTTAAAACATGGACAATAACAAGATCTCATTCATGACAAGTCTAGAAATAGCCATCAGTTTCTAAGATTCGAAGATTTATGGTCCAGTCTTGCTTCTGCTTTTATTTGCTCATGACCACTGAGCTCATGACCAGTTTCCTTGGGCTTAGGTTTCTTCATCTGAAGTAGCATTATTGTTCAAGAATCATTTACAATTGAGACTGATTATCCCTCATTGGAAAAACCAGAGTCAGTGAGTTGTCTAAGAAGGTAAAACTATAAAGACCTGAATGGACTATGAACCTAGCACTCTTTTCTATATTACTAATGTTCCTTGGAGTAAGTTTCATCATCTCCTTATCTTGTGCCCCTTACAATTCTGAGAAAAATAGTAAAGGCTTCATATGATAAAAGGTTCAAATCTACAAAATGATAATTTATATATATTTATAAGGAATGTAGTATTCTATATCAGTTAATTTTCCAAACTTAAACTCAAATGTTTAACATTTTTAAAAGTAAAATCTAAAATAAAACCATAACTTACCTAGTAAATTACGTTAGAAACTACTGTAGTGCCATAGTGAATACCAATTTAACCACTTCTGGTGGCATTAGAACAGTCAAGTCGTTTATAAGGATGGTGAGACTTCAAATCCTCTTGAACTTCTTCAGCTGCTGCCATGATAAACAATTTGGAGTAGGACTAGACAACTGTACCTTGCCTCCTACTCCAGGGACCTCTCACTTCCTGCCTCTTGGCTTCTGACAAGCTGTAGAAACTGCTTGGCCCTTGGTGTATAACTCGGAAGAGGTGTGGGTCACCCTCCTTCAAAGACAATTCAGAGGCTTCTACACTAATAAAAGACAAAGATGCTAATTGACCGTACCTTTGCTACACCCACCAGCCAATCAGAGCGACAATATGCAAATTAACCCAACCAAGATGGCGTTTAATTTGCATATACTGGCTGGGAGCGAAGACTGAAGACAATGTGGAAGCGAAGTGCTACAGAAGGGAGCAAAGTAGAGGCGGTGGAGACAGGAACAGAGCCAAGACGGTGGAGGTGGGAGGAAAACCAGCAGGGCGGCGGAGCGGGAGGGAAAACAAACAGCCGCGGGCGGAGTGGGAGGGAAAACAAACAGCTGGGCGGCGGAGCGGGAGGGAAACCAGCCGGGCAGCGGAGCGGGAGCAAAGCCCGCCTCAGCGGGTTTTGCTCCATTCTCTGCTTCACTCCAGCCACAGGAAGCCCTATTCTTGCAGGAATCTTCCTGCAACGGGCCTCTAGAATTTCATAAGGCTCCTCAGAAAGTCAAGATCAAGCACTAGTGCTTATGTGGTATCCAACTCAATCCATCCTTGATTAGCTTTCCTTCCTTCTGTTTCATTTCTCCATTACCCCTGTTCCCTGGGATCCCTTCCTAAATAAACTGCATGCAAATCTGGGGCTATGCTTTGAGGAGAACCAAAGCTAAGACAAGCAGTAAAGTAACACGCAGATAGAAAGATGGCTCTATTGTCACCATATAATTTACTTTGCAAATGCCTAAGTAAAAAGTCCTGCTCTCCCTCCCCTTTTTAAAAAAACTCTGCTGGTTAGGACAGACCAGAGCTATCAACTATAAAACTGAAAATACATTCAGAATTGAATTTTCTAAAAAAGCCACAAAATTGTTTTACAGCCTTAATTTTTTATCCCATGCTATTGCTATAACCTAATATTCACCCTCACTTTGAAAAGCTAAGCCACTTACATGAAAAGGTGAGTAGCATCTTAATAAAAATCTTTTCCATTAACTTTAGTTCAAAGGCTTTATCTTTCCATTCTGAATCTTAATATGTTTCTAAAAAGTCCTATTGACTTTGTTCTCACCCTCTGCAAATCAGTTTTCTCAGTTAAACTCGTGTTTTTTTGTCTTTCACTAGAGAAAGTGTTACTTCCTCCATGAGAAGATATTATCTGTGATAAATAGAACTGTACATTTTGCTGTATTCTTGGGTTGGTTTCCCTTTACAAACATGCAGAATATGCAGATGTCCTTTTCCCATATAATAAATGCCACTTTAATCTTCATAGCTTGTGAGGTTCAAGTTACAAATGAAGCTCAGAGAAATGAAGTAATTAGCTCAAGGTCCAACGTGTAAAAAATAACAGAACTAGAACTTGAATTCTAGTCTTCTGATTCTGAATCTCATGTTCATCTGAAGGTGACTGATCCCAGCCTCAGTTTATTGGTTGTTTCTACATTGGACCCACTGAAATTTTATCAATAGTTTTTTGTTTATTTAAATATTCAAATAAGGACTCAGAAAAAGATAAATTATAGGCATACATAGGATCATTTATCTTTATCCTACCTATCAGGGCTTAATAGAAAAGAACTCCTCTTTTACCCATTCTATTTAAAAAATATATATCCTATATAATAAAAGGCTAATATGCAAATCAACCGAATACCGGAACGACTGGTCGCCATGAGGTGCACTGACCACCAGGGGGCAGACGCTCAATGCAGGAGCTGCCCTCTGGTGGTCAGTGTGCTCCCACGGGGGAAGCGCCACTCAGCCAGAAGCTGGGCTCATGGCTGGTGAGAGCAGTGGTGGTGGCGGGAGCCTCTCTAGCCTCTGTGGCAGCGCTAAGGATGTCTGACTGCCAGCTTAGGCCCGCTCCCTGTGGGACATCCCCCGAGGGTTCTCAGACTGCAAGAGGGAGCATGCCAGGCTGAGGAATCCACCCCCCCCCCACCCCCCAGTGAACAAATTTTGTGCACCGGGCCTCTAGTGTGTGTGTGTGTGTGTGTATATATATATATACATATACATATATATATATATATCTCCCTAATATGTTATATATATATATAACCCTAATATGCAAATAGAACGAATGGTGGAACAACTGGTCACTATGATGTGCGCTGGCCACCAGGGGGTGTGCGTGGAACATGGTGGGCATCGGCCATGGCAGGATGGTGAAGCAGGTGAGCAGGGGTGCCAGACCAAAGTGGGGCGCCGGTTGCTGTCATTGGGGCGAGCCTCTGGTGGTTACTGAAAATTCTTTGCTCCCGCGCGCCACGGTCCTGCCCAGCGCTCACACCTGCTGCTGGTGCCGGCCTCAATCACTCCACACTGTCAGCGGGTGCGAGTGGGGCCAGCGCCGTCAGTGCGTGGGAGTGGTGGCAGCAGGAGCAGGGCTGCCAACAGACAGGGGACTGGGGCCACGGTAGGAGGGGCCGGGCTGAGGCACAGAGGATGGGCCAAGACTTGCCCCTGTGCCTACCGCGGCCTCACAGCGCGCAGTTCCGCAGTTCCTTTCAAGGTGCACAAATTCGTGCACTGGGCCCCTAGTATATACATAATAGACATTTTTTAAAAGATGAAGCCCAATAAATAACATGGCAAACCTTTCTCTACACAGTAGTAAATAGATTTTCATCTTATGGACTTCTATATGTTGCTCTTGTTTATAGGTTTGTTAAAATAGGAAAAACTGCTAGTATCTGTTCTAATGAACTGCATAATTCAATCATCTAGAAACCCTTCTTCCCCTAGGCACAAATTCATTCTTGCTTTGAGAAGATGTAGGTTTTAAAGCTGAACTGAACCTCTGCAAATTACAGATATGCAACATTTAAAACAATGTTGAAATGCTTGTGTTTAACTCCAGTTGGCATAAAAAACGTTGAGTCTTCAGCAAAATTAGATGCCATTAATTAGTCTTAAGATTTCCTGTTATAGTTGCTATAAAGCATCTCAACAGATGGATTCCAGAATAGGTCATAGCACTGTGAAAAGAAAAGAAAAACCATTTTCTTCCTTACTTCAGAAGTAGTAACAGATCTGAATTCATCTAACTTAAAAAAACTGTTTACAAACCGAGTTTCATGTATGAAAGAGAACATCTTAAATTGGCCTTTCCTCTTCCTGAGTCTCTAAATCTAGTGCTCCATACTATCTGCTCTATTACCTTCATGATTCTAAAAATTTCACCATTATCTACTATTTTGTTTTTTATTTGTCAGACTAAAAGTTGTTTCTGTTTTTCTATATGGAGGACAATTGACATATAACATTATATTAGTTTCAGATGTATAACGAAGATTTAATATTTGTATATACTACAAAATGATCACAGTAAGTCTAGTTAACATCCGTCACTATACATAATTAAAAAATTTATTTTCTTGTGATGAGGACTTTTAAGATCTGCTCTCAGAAACTTTGAAATATGCAATACAGTATTATTTATAGTCACCATGCTGTATATTACAACCAGGATTTATTTTACAACTGCAAGCTTGTACCTTTTGACCCCCTTCATTCATTTCTCCCACTAGCCATCCCCCTCCTCTGGCAACCACTAATCTCTTCACTTTATCTAGGAGCTTGATTTTTGTTTTTTAAATTCCACATATAAAGGACATGATATGGTGTTTGTCTCGCTATTTCACTTAGCATGCCTTCAAGGTCCATCCATGTTGTCACAAGTGGGCAAGATTTCATTCTTTTTTTATGGCCAAAAAGTATTCCACTGTGTATTTAACCACTTCATCTTTATTCATCCACTGACTGACACTTAGGTAGCTTCCATATCCTGGCTATTGAAAAAATGTTGGCAGTGAACATGGGGGTACATATATCTTTTCGAATATGTTTTCATGTTCACTGGATAAATATCCAGAAGTGGAATTGCTAGAACAAATGGTGGTTCTATTTTTAAGTTTTTGAGGAACCTCCACACTATTTTTCATAATGGCAGTAAAAATTTACAATCCCACCAACAGTGCACAAGAGTTCCCTTTTTTCCACATCCTTGCCAACACTTATTTCAAGTCTATTTGATAACAGTCATTTTGACAGGCAGGAGGTGATATCTCATTGTGGTTTTGTATTTGCATTTCCCTGGAGAATAGTGATGTTCAGCATCTTTTCATGTATTTGTTAGCCGTCTGTATGTCTAACAAATGTCTCTTCAGATCCTCTGCCCATTTTTAAATTGTATTATTATCTTTTTTGCTATTGAGTTGTATGAGTTCTTTGTGCATTTTGGGATATTAATCCCTTATCAGATATATGATTTATAAATATTTTCTCCCAGTTAGGTAGCCTTTTCATTTTGTTGATGATCTCCTTTGCTTTGTAGAAGCTTTTTAGTTTGATGTAGTCCTAGAGTTTATTTATTTTTTTAATATATTTTATTGATTTTTTACAGAGAGGAAGGGAGAAGGAGAGGGATAGAGAGTTAGAAACATCGATGAGAGAGAAACATCGATTCAGCTGCTTCCTGCACACTCCCTTCTGGGGATGTGCCCGCAACCAAGGTACATGCCCTTAACCAGAATCAAACCTGGGACCCTTCAGTCCGCAGGCCAACGCTCTATCCACTGAGCCAAACCGGTCAGGGCCTATAGTTTATTTTTGTTTTTGAAATCAGATTCAAAAAATTATCACCAAGACCAATGTCAAGGAACTTACTGCCTATGTTTTCTCCTAAGAGTTTATGGTTTCAGGTATTACATTCGTCTTTAACCTATTTTGAGTTAATTTTTGTGTATAGTATATAGTAGTTTAATTTCATTCTTTTGCATGTGGCTGTTAGTTTTTCCAACACCATTTATTGAAGAGACTGTCATTTCCCCATTGTATATTCCTGGTTCTTTTGTTGTAAATTAAGTGACCATTATGCATGGGCTTATTTCTAGACTCCCTATTCTGTTCTGTTGATCTTTGTGTCTGTTTTTATGCCAATACCATACTGTTTTGATTACTACAGCTTTGTAATATAGTATGAAGTCAGGGAGCATGATGCCTCTAGCTTTGTTTTTCTTTCTCAAGATTGCTTTGGCTATTCAGGGTCTTTTGTGATTCTGTACAAATTTTAGAGTTGTTTGTTCTATTTCACTGAAAAATGCCACTGGAACATCTACCATTTTGCTTTTTATTTCCCAGACTAAACTGTTTGATCTTTTAGTTTATTCTTTTTATGACAAGATGTAATCACCTTGATAATTTAGACCTTTTCTCATGATTTTTAAAAAACTATCATAACCATTATTGTATCTGTTATTTATCTGTCTTAGTATATCCATCCATATCCATTCATCTATGTATCAGCATTAAAGTGACTAGTTGGTTCCCCAGGATATATGGACTTATATGGAATACATTATGACTTTTATGGATATAGGTATGGCGTATACTTGTATATAAAATAGGTAAACTCTTTTCTCTTGCATTGCTAATTCCCTTCTTGATAAAGTACAGCATTTTGGACTTTTTGACCAAACCTGCCTGGTTCAGAATAGTCCATAATGATTCTTGGATTATAATTGGAGTTATACATATATAGTTTAAAGGAGAAATACAAGTTAGATAGTCCACACACTAACTATGACACCTTGAAATCGTTTGCAACATTTGTCAACTCATGATTTTCTTTGTCATTACAATCAGTTCTCATTTGCTTGGAATTTAACTACATAGAAAACCACAGAAGTGATCATACTGTGCCTACTTACATAGTTCTTCTATACCATTTATAACAATAGACTGATCCCAGTATCAATCTTTAGGAGCCTTTCACCATTTATACTTCTCCACTCAGCTGGGGCAGAGTTCAGACATGAAGGTTAGCTTTTGACTTTAGGCTTAAAAGCCAAACCTCTCTGGATTACATGTCTACTCACATTTCCACCTTTCTCCTAACTTACTTTATAATAATTATTCTGTGACGAGGCCAATATCCATCTGGAGGGGTGAACTGGGATTTGGTCATGCTAGTAAAAGCAAGGATTATATTTAACTCTACTTTCTAAATTGGGTTTAGAAAACTATAGAGTACAGCCTGCCAATTTCCTTTATGTGGTCACCGTGGTATAGTGAACACTGACGTTCTTGAAAGTCAGCGGGCTCCCGTGTCTCAATTCTTGGACTTTAAGTGCTGTGTGGCTTCTATAGTGTCCTGGTCACCTACGGTGAGTAGTTCCGGGGCAGCAGTCATCCAGGGTTATGCAGCAGTGAATGCTGGCATATCTAAAGAAGAGAACTTCTGCCCTGGCTGGTATGGCTCAGTTGGTTGGAATGTCAACCCATACACCAAGAGGTGGCAGGTTTGATTCCCGGTCAGGGCACATTACGAGGTGTGGGTTCAATCCCAGGTCGGTGCACATGTGGGAGCCAACTGATCCATGTTTCTGTCCCACATCAATGTTTTTCTCTCTCCTTCCCTTCCTCTCTCTAAAATCAAATTTTTTAAAAAGTTAAAAAAAGAGAGAAGGGAATTCCCCTAAAAAGTACTAGGGAATCTGATATTCTGGGTTGTTGGCCTAACCCTGCCATTTGCTGACTGACCTTTGACAAGGAAGGAAACTAACATCTATTATATTTTGTGTACTAGGTCACAATGCATTTTATTTGATACTTTAAACCACATTTTTACTAGTGAGAAAAGACTCAAAATGAAATAAATTGCTTTAAAATCTATAGCACAGAAATAGAGGAACCATGCAAAACTATGGCCTCACTCTAAGGCTTATGCTCTTTCTATTACAGCCAATACCTCTTTGAACTCACATCACTTCTCCGACTTGTAACTGTGAAATAGGAATGTTTACTGTGAGGATCAATTAAGTGTTTTGAATGATCTAGTGTTATAACCTCCCCCACAACCATCAGTTTTCAGATAGTGCTAATTGTTCTTAAGTAGAGCCACAATCTTACTTAATTAGTCTGGTGGCATAGAGCTCATAGCAGTGTGGAACTACTGCTTGATCATTCCCTTGTTTTAAACACTATAATTCTGTTAATGTAGCTCAAAAAACTGTCAGTTTTTCCCTAGCCCCATTATGTTAATTCAAACTCAGCTTCCAATCAACTGAATTTTTTTTAAAAAAAATGCTATTAGGCATAATTTGCTCATTTTATGTTTATGTTGCCTTTTTAGCTGAAGAATCACTTCCTTATTATTAAACTAGAGGCCCGATGCACTAAATTTGTGCAAGAGTAGGCCTTCTTCCCCACCCCCCGCCGCCCCGCCCAGCTGCCTGCACCGGCTTTCCTCTGGCACCCAGGACCCAGGCTTCCCTCTGGCCACCAGCAAGCAACCTGGACCCGGGCTTTCCTTTGGCTGCTGGCAAGCACCCTGGACCTGGGCTTACCTCCAGCCCCGGCCTCATCTGGAAGGTCCGGTCTAATTAGCATATTTTATTATTATAGATAGTTAAAAAAAACAGCTATTTTTCTGATAATGCTCAGGGCTCTAAGAAGAATTAGGATTTCATTCCTGCCCCTAGGAGTTTCATTGTATATAGGGAACATAGACAAATGAACTGGATAAATACTCAAAATTAAGTAAAGGGAGAAGAGCATTTTGTCAGAATGAATGAAGAAGGATTTTGACAGGTATGTTCATAATTACAAACAATTTAAATGTGATTTGCACTGGTAGGCAGTAGAATGACCACTTAAAGGACAGTTCCACATATAATTGTTACTTGGTTTCATTCTTTTCTTAAAGCAACTCCCAGTGTCTTTCACAAAGAAGTTAAGAGTATGATTTTCTTACTCAGAGGGGAGGGGACTGTGTCTCTGCAACAGTACAGGTTACTGTGCCCATGGTATACACTGAAAGTACAAACTCATGTTTCATCGCTAAACCACATCTAATATCTCAAAAACTGCCAGCTCAGGAAATAACCACTCCTTCTGCTACCAATACTTAATTCTAACTTATATGAAGCATTTCTTCTTTACATATGGTCCTTTTAAAAGAATATTTTTATCCCTCATAGCCCAAGTGAGTTTTCTACCATAAAGATAAGTTGTTCTTCTTTGGAACTAAGAAAGGGATGGTAGTATCTTTATTGTAATGGTTGTTCAGCTGATTCTAAAAAGGAAAAAGTTTTGCTCAAGCTAGTTTGGCTCAGTGGATAGAGCATCGGCCTGTGGACTGAAGGGTCCCAGGTTCAATTCCAGTCAAGAACACATGCCTGTGTTTTGGGCTCAGTCCCCTGTAAGGGGTGTGCAGGAGGCAGCCAATCAATGATTCCCTTTCATCACTGATGTTTCTATTTCTCCCTTCCTCTCTGAAATCAATAAAAATATATTAAAAATAATAATTAAAAAGTAAAAAGTTTTTACTTCTGCTGTGGTATAGGGTTGAGCTAGGCTGAGGAAAAAAGAGATGAAAATGCCTTACCAGGATGATACAGCAAAATTTGCAGAAGGAAGAAATAAAGGGAAGGAAAAAATAAAAGCACTGATGGGCTGTACAATAAATCTTGGCTAAGTGCATAGTCTTCCAAACTTTCCTAATTTTAGTCAAAAGGCTGAGAAATGACAAGAAACATTGATTTAATACTAAAAGTTGATAGAATATAAAGCTATAAAAACAATGCAACTCTTACCTTACAGGAAACAACTGAGGAAAACATCCTTGTGTTTTAGTGTCAACAAATTTCTGGATCTCGAGCACCTGTTTTAAAAGACGTCCCTTGGAAGGTTTGTCAATTTTTGTTAACACCATCTGCAAAAAACAAATGACTAAATGAGTTAATGTATGCAATTTATAAAGCATACACTACGTGCTTGCTGTTTAATTAATGGTGCTTTAACTACACAGGACTATACTACGTTTAATTCAAAATCAGTGAAAAGGACCCTGAAGCCATATTTGCAACTACCATAAACCAAATGTTTCATATCATCACTCTATATCTGTGATCAAAGATATACGTTAGTATTGTTGGGTTGGGTTGATTCATATAAAATTGGCAATTTATAATCATTTTTGACATACAAAATGGTTCCATCTCACATGTAACCTAAAGGAAAAATTAGAAATCCAGCTATCTGTAGGTTGTATCCACTATTCCAAGTTTTATATAATTACATTCCAAGTAAGCCTAGAACTTACTAGGCTTACCAGTAAATAATAACATTGAATAATTTACTTATTCAAAGACAATTACATACTAGAGGTAAGGCCAAGGCATGGCTGATTATAAAATCAATTAAAAAGTAAAACCTTGATGTATCCGATTTCCTGGGGGAGTTTCTATAAAATTAAATTTCCTGACTCATCATTCATACTTTTCAGTTATAAAAATGTAAATCGGCAGAGGGAGCGAGAAGCAAAAAGTGTGTGGTTTCTAATGACCTGTGAAACTCGCCAAATGGGAGTCTTTCCTTATAAAGGCAAATGCTGATATTTAAAAGGAAACATAATTCCTCTAGTACAAATTCTTTTTCAAAAAGGAAAGTTATAATTCTTTAAAGTTAAAACTGAAGAAAATATATGATTTCATAAACTGATACCTATGATACCAAATCAGGAATATTATCACTTAAAAAAACCAAGTTTGGCATTACTTAGGCATTTTTACTTTGTAGATTAAGTTTATCAACCCTTCTGCTCCTCGAAACTGTAGGTTATCACTAATGTTTCAAAGGCTTTGCAAACCCAAAGAATTCCATAACTATAACAATACAAAAAAGTTGCTGACTACTAATGGTTTGACTTGCATTACACTCCAGTATTACATTTTAGTAGTTGTCTCACTTTTTTTAAGACCAAATTTTAGCCAATGGGTTCTTCACTTTTCCTTAGGAACTTTAAGAGTGCTACTTTATTTGTAAAACTCACAAAGCAAAATGAATACGTATACCAACCTACTAATCAGTATTCTATTATAAAGCAAATAATAGAACACTGGTAAGATTTTCCCAGAAGAAATCCTGTGTTCTTTAAGAATACAGTATAAAAATCCTACTTGTGTGTGCTGGAGCCTGCTATGTTCTTGTAATGGTTCTTAAATTCCAAATTAGTTTAACAAATTTTCAGTTGTAGTTTTATTTACATACTGTTAAGTACTATCTGCCAAGCTGCTGTTAAAAGAGCTGCTAACATTTTGGACAAATATTCACATTGCCATTAAAATACAAAACAAAAACAACATCATAAAGAAAAGCACCTAGAAGCACTAAATAAACAGCTTTAAAAAACTACTTTGACTATACTTTTGAAAACTTAAAGCTGAGAAAAGGAAAAGAGAATAAAAGTAGTACAGGATTTATTTTATTAATGGCTAACAATGGTAAAGATTATACAAAAGGTACTCCTTTATCTCTTGAAGAGGTAAAACTTACTTATTCATTAAAAAGACACACACACACACACACACACACACACACACACACACACACACAACTGGTATGTATTTCTAATTATAACCAGGATTCAAAAGAAATACTTACTACATAAGGTAATGCAAAATCTTCACACATTTCTATGGCAATATTGTCTGCTTTCTGAATTCCGACAACACTATCCACTAACAAAAATGTTCTCAGCAAACTGTAAGAATGCAGAAATAAAGATTAATGGCAATATAAAATTCATTCCTTCCTCCCTCCCCACCCCTCAAGCTATAATAATAAATTTTCCTTTGATTGATTTTCAATCCAAATTTAAAAACTTTTTTAGGCAAAAGGAATTCTCAGTTCACCAGGTCCATCCTACAGTCCAATAGTTAACTAAATATTAATTTATTTCAGTAGCATGTATTGCACATGACTCTACTTGGAATTGGATACAAAGGTGAGTAAGCCCCTTCCTCTAAAAGCCTGAACTCCAGTGAAAGAGACATGTATAAATACCTTGTATAAATATCTCATATTCATTTCTATGTAAAGCCACAAGAAAGATACTTAACACTTCTTTATACTTCAAAAGTTTAACATAAATTTTCCGATATATGTGCAAAGCTTGAAATACTTGCCCACGTAGGAAGACCATAAAAGGTAACATTTGCAAAGGATGTGATGTCAGGAGTACTTTAAGAACAATTAGAATTTATGAAATCTGCTTATATTTAGTAAATACCACATTAACCAACAATTTTCATTTTCAAAATTAGCCGTCTAAGAGTTTGGTATAAAAACATTAGTAAACTCTGCTGAAGTACTCTTTGTAGGCTCAATTTAGAAAAACACTTGAACTTCAGATTAAGCTAACCTACAGGAAAAAAACAAAGATGCAGTAAATACCTTGGTTGTAAATGTTGTGTTGCAGAATATTATGAGAATAAAATGGACTTTCTAAAAGTCATTTGATAAAACTGAAGTGGTCATCACGTGTAGAATGCTCTATTACCAAAAATATGCTTTTGGTTTAAATGTATAACTATTATAAAGCATTTTTCCCCTTACTTCTTTCGTTCTTTTAGATAGGTCTCTACCATATCAACAAAATCTTCAGGTGCTCGATAGCCATAACCTGGCATGTCCACCAATGTAAAATATTTTCCAACTTTGAAAAAATTCATTTTCTTTGTGTGTCCCTGATAAAATAAATAGAAAAAAGTGAAAACTTTCTTCAAGTATGTTCAGTATATATTTAATATCTCAAAATATTTTCTATTCAATCATATTTATTAACATGTATAAATATTCTGTATATAATCCCAGCTATGCTGATAATTAAACAGGAAAAGAAGGAAAAGCTCTGGCTGGTGTGGTTAGAGCATCAGCCTACCCACTGGAGGGTCACAGGTTCAATTCCAAGGTCAAGGGTACATACTTTTGTTGTAGGTCTGATCCCCATGCAACCAATCGATGTGTCTCTCTCACTGATGTTTCTCTCTCTCTCTTACTCCCCTTTCCCTTCCATGCTCTCTAAGATCGATGGAAAAAATATCCTCACTTCTTGGGTAAGGATTAAAAAAAAAATAAAACTAAAAAGATAGAAGTGGCTGGAGATATGCTTAGATACTACTTCTTTACAATTCATAATTTTAAGATAATATATATGACTTAAGAAGAACTTTAGATTCCATATTAGAAATATGTAGGCAAAATATTTTGGAGTCTTTCCTATTTCATTAGTTCTCAGTAAAAAAGTTAACCTGGTATGACTGTACTAGTCAATATTCTCTGATGAGTAATATATCTCAAATAAGAAATGAATTTGGCACAGGTTAAATTAAATACTGTTAGTCATACAACCATAAAACCTAGATGTAAAACCTGATAGTTTATTATGCCTAGACTAGAGGCCCGGTACACAAAATTCGTGCACTCAGAGGGGGGTCCCTCAGCCCAGCCTACACCCTCTCGCAGTCCAGGAGCCCTCGGGGGATGTTCAACTGATGGCTTAGGCCCGCTCCATCAGTCAGACATCCTTAGCACTGCCGCAGAGGTGGGAGGGGCTCCTACCACTGCAGCTGAGCTCGCCAGCTGTGAGCCAAGCTTCTGGCTGAGCGGAGCTCACCCTGTGGGAGCGCAATGACCACCAGGGTGCAGCACCTGCATTTGAGTGTCTGCCCCCTGGTGGTCAGTGCACGTCATAGCGACCTGCCATTCTGCCATTTGGTCAATTTGCATGTTAGCCTTTTAATATATAGGATGGTCTTTGATTACCTCCCACCCACCCACCCACCATCAGGGCCAGGGAGGGACTGCGGGAGGGCTCCAGGGCATGTCCGGCCCGTCTCGCTCGGTCCTGATCGGCCGGACCCCAGCAGCAAGCTAACCTACCGGTCAGAGCATCTGCCCCCTGGTGGTCAGTGCACATCATAGCGACTGGTTGACTGTCTGCCCCCTGGTGGTCAGTGCACGTCATAGTGAGTGGTTGAGCGGCCTTAGCATATCATTAGCATATTACACTCTGATTGGTTGAACGGCTGACCAGCTGGCTGGACACTTAGCATATTAGGCTTTTATTATATAGGATTACCGTTTCCTTAAAATCAACATGTTTTGCATGTTTCATTGGATGGGTTTAAGTGCTTTCATTAAACCATTTTTTAAAAAGCATGTACAACACTATTAAACATCTGTGAAACTAATATTTATGTCATGATAAGTGGATTATTCAAGATTTTATCTCTATGGACATTTATTAATCAGAAAAGGAAAGATTAAGATAAATAAGCAGTCAATTATTTGGAACTTAGAACAAATATTTTCAGAAGAAAGGTGTTATAAATGGTGCTTAGGTTCCCAGTCAACTATGTATCAGTAAGAAAATGATTTTAGAATTATAGATGAGGAATGTCAGAAATACATTTCTTGCATTGTCCTCTCATAGCAGGAACCAAACGCCCTGCCTATAAGAGAGAGTTGAGCTGGGTTATCTGGTGAGGCAGGGCAGGAGAATTAACAAATGACAACAATCATCAGTGACAGAGCCAGGGAATCAACTTTATGAAGATATTAGAAGCAAGAGAAGACTAGTGAAGTCTCTTGGAAGAGTTCCAATGCAAAGAAAGAGGGCAGTGAGCACTGGGTTGGTGGGAATGTTTTGCCATGGATAGATAGTAAGGTGAGAGGAACTGGGGGAAGTACTGAAGTGCTTAGATATTGGTAGTCTGCATCATTTAGAAGGAAATAGAGGAAATTAGAAAATGACAGAAAGCATGTAGGACACTACAGCAGACTGGCTGGGATAATAAGCACATAATTTGGCCTGGAGTAGACTGGGATTTGCCTGATTGGTGTATATGTATGAGTTAGCAAAGTATAAAAGATTACAGGGAGAAAAAACCCCACTTTACAACTGTTTCCTCTGATATCAATGTAGAACTAAGATGATCATTCTTGAAAGCAAATCTATATATATATATACTAGTAAAAGCCTAAACAACTGTTCGACCCGTTGCTATGTGCGCCGCTCAGCTGACCAACGGGTGACAGACACCAGACTCACGGCTGGCAAGCACAGCTGTGGTGGCACAAGCCTCTCCCATGGACACTCCCCCTGCACGCCCCTCCCCATCTGGACCGGGACTAGGGTTGGGACCAGCATTGGGATTGACTGGGCACGAGCCCGTGGACGCTTTTCAGTCATGGGTGCACCAGTATCACCCTAGAATGGTCATGCAGAGACCGCAGTGGAGTGGCAGTGAGTCTACTGAGTGGTGGCGGCAGGTGCAGCAGGGGTGGGATGAGTGGGAGCCGTGCGGCACCTGGCCCAGGCTTGGGCTCTTCCCCGGCTGCCTGCCCCTTCACACACTACTATATCCCTCGGGGGATGTTGGACTGCCGGCTTTGGCCCGATTCCTGCAGGCCACACCAAGAACCTCACCAGTGCACAAATCCGTGCACTGGGCCTCTAGTAGAGAATAACAAATGAACAACTCTTTGGAAAACATTTTGACCAAGGAAGATTTCCTCAAGATACTGGCAAGACTACTAAAATAAATCCAGACATATTTCCTTTCCTTCAAAGAAATACAAAGGCATTGATGTAATCTCTTACTTTACTACTTGTTTGAAAGAAATCACTTTTCTAGAAACTTGGCTATTATCATTTCTTGTATTCCCCCAACACTTTATTCATCTTCGTCAATTGAGAGTTCCAACAGATTTGAAATTTCAACATACCGGGGTTTTGGAGACTCTGACTTCAACCTCTGGAGCCAATGAAAACAAAGCCTTTATTAGAGAGGATTTTCCAACATTGCTTCTGCCTATAAAACACACCTTATACACAAAAAGAGAAGGGAAGCTGGGTGAAAAAGGTGAAGGAATTAAGCAAAAGAAAAAACCCGAAACAACAAACTCATAGACACAGACAATAGTATGGTGATTACCAGAGGGAAAGGGGAATGGGGGGAGTTGGAAGAGGGTAAAGGAGGGATAAACGGTGATGGAAGGAGACTGGACTTTGGGTAGTGAACAGATAATACAATATACAGATGATATTTATATATCTCTATATATAAAAGCCTAAGTGACCATTACGACCAAATGACGGGTCGACCAGTTGCTATGATGCGCACTCAGATGCTCAACAGGAGCTAGCCCCTGGTGGTCAGTGCGCTCCCACAGCGAACCTCCTGTGGCTGGCCAACCTTCCCAGGTCCCTCCCCCTGGCCAGCAGGTCCCGATTGGGACTTCGGGACTGGGTGAGATGGCCCTGATTGGTCCTGATCACCGGCCAGGCCTAGGGACCCCGCCTGTGCACAAATTCATGCCATGGGCCTCTAATATTATAGAATTGTACACCTGAAACCTATATAATTTTATTAACCAACTAGAGCCCTGGTGCATGAAAATTCATGCACTCAGGGGGAGTCCCTCAGTCCAACCTGCGCCTTCTCGCAGAGCAGGAGCACTCGGGGTATGTCCGACTGATTGGCTCTGTGGGAGGCGACCTGCAGGCCAATCAGGGGACAGCGCTGGCCGGCGAGCAGATGGCCCCGTCTCCCATCGCCCTGCCGCCACAAGTGGCCTCCCTCTGTGGGAGGCGACCGGCGGGGCAATCGGGGGATGGCACCAGCTGGTGAGTGGCCAGCCTGCCCCCTGATCACCCCTCTGCCACCACCTGTCACCGCTGCCCCCCCATTGCTGTCCCCTCCCTCTGCCCACTGGCACCTCCTTGGCTGGCCTGGTGCTGCCCACTCGCTGGTCCTACCCCCCGCCAACCAGTCATTCTGCCGTTCGGTCGATTTGCATATTAGGCTTTTATAATATAGGATGTCACCCCAATAAATTTAAAAAAAATTTTTTTAAAGAAGAAAATTTAAAGAGAAAACTCAATTTTTTGAGTACTAGCTTAATATATAAATTTATTATGATGTATTAGCTGCAAAAACCTGTCAAGCTATTCACTCCTGCCTCACCATAAAACAGATGATAAAATGAGGCAGAAAGAGGTTAAATAACTGGCCCAAAATTATACAGCTAGAAAGAGAGTTGAAATTTGAACTCAGACACCTATATCCAGAACCTGTGCTTTTAATTACACTATGCTACTCAAGAATATCTGCAACATTTATTAAGCATCCTACATTTACAAAGTTTTTTGAAAACAGAACCACATTTCCCCACAAACTTTCAGAGTACAATGTAATTAAGAGGTTATTCCTTTCTCTTGAAATCTCTTCTTCCAATTAAGCTTTTCTCCTTTAGTGCTCTATACTATAGTCATCTCAGGGCACACATAAAGTAATTACTAAAATTCTGCAACACACCAAAAAATACATATTATTTTTTGCTAATCGGACCAAAAAAAGTATAATTTTGATTCATTCACTCCAGATAGCTATTGTGTTGGCTGTTGTCATTTTTTAATTTGAGAATCTAAGGGAAAAGAGGTCAGTGCCCCTGACTAGTCAGGTATTATATGTTTTAAAAATTCTTGTAGCTCACTGGTTGAAAATCACTGCTCTATAGTGTAGAAAGGAACAAAATATTCCTGATAGTAATCATTAATACACATGGCTCTGCTTTCTAACATGGTATTGAAGGGGGTACAATACCAATCAGTGGTTCTAAATGAGGGCATGTTTTGGAAATTTGTGAGAAAATTTTTGATTATCAATATGATCAGATGGCATTTAGTAGATAGGGGTCAGGGATGCTATATATTGTGCAAAACTGTGGTCAGTCCTTCAAAATGAATTGATCTGAATCCTGCTTAAATTTCAAATGCTCTGCCAGATTAAACCCAAAGATAATCTACAGATAATAAAACTGAATTTTAACACATGGTTTGCAGGTAGTTTTTATCGCGCGCTAACATATATTGAACACTTAAATTTTGTCTTTGAAACCTGTTAAAGTCTCCTATACTCGTTACGGAAGTAATTAAAACTAGACTTGCTTCTTTAGTTAAAATAGTTGTATGCTTCCACAAAGTTAGAAAGGCTCTCCCGTTCTGTGACCACAAAACCCCTTCCCCAGCCTCCAGCCCCGGCGGGCAGCGCGCTCTCACCTCCGGGCGGGGGAGGTCGGGGGCGTGGTCCAGGCGCACCGCCGAGCTGACGTACTCGATGCGGTTCCGCGGGGTGGCCGTGAAGAAGCTCTCCGCCCTCGCGATGGCCTCCAGGCTCGGGTCAAAGATCCTCAGTTGAAGAAGGTCGGGCTTGGCGTCAGGGAGGAGATGCCGCTGGAGTTCCTGTAACGGGAACACGAGCTTCGTCAGTTCCATTTTTGGCAGCTGCAGAACCTCCGTGAAGGCGTGGGACTTGCTGTAAGCTCGGCTCAAGCGCCCCAGCGCGGCGGGCATCTCAATGAGCCTGCCCACGCCGGGCAGCAGCCCGGGCGCCGCCATGTTTCTCTCCCAGAAGCCCCCGCAGCAGGACCTCATGCCTAGCGTGTGGGCTGCGCGTGCGTGACCCCGTCCCTCTACGCCTGCTGGGAATTGTAGTCTCCTGTGGCCTCTCCTTCCGGTCCTGAGGTCTGCCTGGAGTGAGCTGGAGGCAGGTGGTGTGTGGGAGGGGAGCAATACCCCAGGCGCAGTTCACACCTTGATGACGGGCCTTTGACTTGTTTGCCACTGTGGGAAGACTGTTGACTGATTTCCAGTAGTCAAAGGACACATCTGGCTGTGTGCCCTTAAGTCTCAAGGGAAGAAGAGAACGTGTGAAGTTGTGGTAGATTTCAGGCCCGTTTACTCTTCACAGTTTCGGGTTGTCTCACAGATCTTTGACCTGGACGTACACATCACTAGGAAAAACAGTTTTGCAGACAAAAGGGCTGGTGACAAAGTGGTTGAAACGGCATCTGGTTTACAGGGAAGAGGCAGTTTATATTTCCGCCCTCTCTTTAGCTGCAGGAAATGTTACTACATTTTCGAGATGTCTTACAGAATAAAAGCAAAAACAGTTTTGCACGGGTGTCACAGAGTTGTTTCATGGAAGTTACATAAGGACAACTTATTTAAAAAGTTTATTCTCAAAGCAATTCAAACTCATCAGCGCGGGAATGGGAGATACATGTATCAGGATGAAATGAATACCTAAAAAGTATTCCTCCTTAAAAGACTATGTAAGTCTTCAGAAACATCAGCACCAAATACCACGTGCGGGCGCATGTACAGTGCGATCGAAACTTCGTGTCCCATGCGCAGAAGTCGGTATTTTGTGGAAGAGCCACACTCAAGGGGCCAAAGAGCCGCATGTGGCTCACAAGCTGCAGTTTGCAGACCACTGGTCTAGAGCCTCAGCAGGGAGGTCAGGATGTACTTTGCTAAACTGGTAGCCAGGGGAGGTCAATACATTCAATATATGACTTGAGAAGTTACTTTACACACATTCTTCAGAATCAGAATCAACTTTTAATGCTGAAATCTGTCTGACCTAAATGCCATAGTTACACTCTGTCATGTTCATCTAATGAGAATGGAAGGAACAGAGGTAGAACAGTGGTGGGGTCTTACCATTAGGACCTGATCATCTCAGTTCCTTCAGTAATGTCTGCCTCCATAATGAATGGTCACTGGGTCCAGAGTGATCTCAATATACATCCAAGTCCTATAAGTATCAGGTTTATGGAATCCATGTACGACATGAAAGCAAATGTAGGCCTCGATAGGTAAGCAGAATCAGGGACACCAGAGAGTCAGCAAGCATAGCATGCACAGATTAACTCTCATCCTATGCTAGAAATGCTCTGACAGAAACAAGATTCTGGGAAAAGTTACTTCTAGATGCAGAGAGGTAATGGATTAGATCTCAGTAATTTACACAAGACCCTCTCCTATCATATTTTTCCGCTTCTTTTAACAACAGTTATTAACATTTATTGAGTACCGGCTATGCCAGAATTAATCTGGGTGCCAGGAATAAAATACAAGAAAATCATGGTCACAATCTAATTGGACCTCAAACTCTTGTATTGGGAAGAAAATATTAGGAGAAAGAAAGGAGGGAGAGGCATTTTATGAATGAGAGTAACATGGGAAAACTTTCCACATATAACTTAAATTGCTTTAATCTTAATAACTACTGTCAGGATGAATGCTTTAAATTTAATTCTATTTTTTTCTTTTAAAAGATTTATGTTAGATATCACCTAACATGTTGACACAAATTTATGGAACACACATGCAACATGATATTACTTGCCCATGTAATTTCTAGTTAGGCTATAAATTGTTATTCTGAAAATTTATTATTTTACCATAGTTCAAGAAACAACAGAGATATATGTTCTTTTTTAATTATTTATTGATTTTTAAATTTATTTTTAATCCTCACCTGAGGATAGGTTTTTATTGATTTAGAAAGAGAGGAGAGAGAGAGAGAGAGAGAGAGAGAGAGAGAGAGAGAGAGAGAGAGAGAAATGTCTATTGGTTGCCTCCCATATGCCGCCCCTCCACTATCAGAGATCAAACCCACAACCTGGATATGTGCCCTGACCAGGATTCGAACCCTCAACCCTTAGGTGCATAGGACAATGATCAACCAACTGATCTACACTTGCCAAGGCTATTTATTGATTTTTGAGAGAACCATCTATTTGTTGTTCCACTTATTCATTCATTTGGTTGATTGTTGTATGTGCCCTGCTAGGGGATCAAACCCACAGTGTTGGTGTATCGGGACAATGCTCTAACCAACTGAACTCTCCAGCCAGGGCCAGAGATATATTTTCTGTGATCCTCTTCTTTGGGAGCTTATTAAGTAATTTAGTTTTACTGTATATTATATTAATGAACCTTTAGAAAATATTTCTAGCCCTGGCCAGATGGCTCAGTTGGTTGGAGTGTCGTCTCATACACCAAAAGGTTGCAAGTTTGATTCCCCATCAGAGCACATAACTAGGTTTTGAGTTAAATTCCTGGCTTTGGTGCATAAGGGAGGCAACCAACTGATGTTTCTCTCTCTTCCTTCCTTTCTCTCTAAAATCAATAAAAAAATATCCTCAGGCGAGGATTAAAAAAAGAAAAAGAAAAATCGTTAACTTCAGAGAGGGTTTTTTAAGCTTTCTTTTAAGGTTGAGCCTGATGTACTAAGAGATTTCTCTAAAGAGATCTGGAGATTAAATATCAGACAGTGCTCATGTGTAGGAGGTGAGTTCTTAGAATGATTTGGGTTTGGAGGAGGAGGAGTGTAGTGCTTCACTTCCCTGAAGGTTATTTTTCTCACTAGAGAGAAAAACAATTGTTTTATGTAGCCATGTTTTATCATTTGTAATTGTGTATTTGATCTCTCTGCCATATTAATCTATTAAAATATGTTAGGACACTTTTCAACTTGTATTTTTCTTCAGTTTTTTTTTGTAGGAAAAAGGCATTGATTTTGCTGTTCTCACTGATAACATTTTTTAACATTGTAATTATTATTACCCTTAGGCAAGGTTATTATTATTTTTTTTTGTTAATCCTCACCTGAGGATATTTTTCCATTGATTTTTAGAAAGAATGGAAGGGAGGGGGAGAGATAGAGAGAGGGAAACATTGATGTGAGAGGGACACATCTATTGGTTGCCTCCCACACGCGCCTGCAACTGAGGTACATGCCCTTGACCAGAATTGAACCCACTGCCCTTCAGTCTGCAGGCCAACGCTCTATCCACTTGGTTAAACTGGCTAGGGTTAGGCCAAGTTATTTTAATGGACAAGTTTACTTTGTAGTATGCCTGTAATTTATATCTTTACTAGAGGCCCAGTGCACGAATTTGTGCATGGTTGGGGTCTCTCGGCCTGGTGGGTGATTGGGGCTGATTGGAGCCATGGGAAGTGGGCAGACTGTGGAAGGTTGGTTGTGGGAGTGCACTGACCACCCAGGGGCAGCTCCTGCATTGAGTGTTTGCCCCCTGGTGGTCAGTATGGGGCATAGTGACTGGTCGACCGGTTGTTTGGTCGTTTGGTTGCTTAGGCTTTTATATATACTGAGTGGACAGATTATTATGACCACCCCATCAGTACTTCATTAACACTTCCAAAAATACTGAATATTGAAAACTTCCTAAGCAAATACTCTCAAGGTTTTATTATTATTATTATTATTATTATTTGCATAACTAATTCACTTCATTGTACTGATGGGGTGGTCATAATAATCTGGCCACTCAGTGTATATAGATTGCCTTATTGGCAGTGAATGGTGTGCTTTCTGGGCATGCTGAGTAGATGAGATGGCATTCCAGAGGCAGAGGTGTTGAGATTGTTTAATTTGCTCACAGGCAGATTGTGTCAGGGGTTCCCAAGACAATTCCCCAAATTTGGTAATTCATTAGAAGAACTCACAGGTCTCGGCATGTGATAATACTCATGGCCATTTATCACAGTGAAAGGATATGCACAAAGCAAAATTGGTAAAGGGAAAGGCACTCAAAGTGAAGTCTGGAGAAAACCAGCCCCAACCTTTGATGAGTCTTCTCCCAGTGGAGGTGCACAGGATGCACTTAATTCTACCAGCAACAAGCTATAACAGGTGAGAAATGTCTTCCAGGAACTCTGGCCTGAGCCTAGGACTCTAGAGTTTTGACTGTGGGCTGGTCATGTAAGCACATAGTGCCTGTGTGATGGGCTCTAGTCACTGAAATTCCAGACTCTCAAGGAGAGCAGGTGTTCAGCATAAACCACTTTGCTTGTGCAAATAGAATAGATATGGTGAGCTGCTGTTGTCATTTAGGGCAAGTTTTCTAATCAAAGTCTCAGATGCCAATGGTCACTCTTATAAGCAAGCTTTTCTAAGTACAGCAGTTGCAGGCCTGCTAGGTTAACTCTTTTCTGCATATAAGTAAAATAATTTTTAAATGAAAAGGTTCTCATCTGTATTTATTATGAGATTGTATACTTGTAGGAAAGTTATATTCCAGGTTCTGCTCTAATTACAAATGATTTCTGTGGAGATTTTTGAGAAAAGTGGGATAAACCTGCTTTAGTCATGTTAATGGAAAATGGCAAAACTAGAATTCTTTATAAATTAAAATTTTGGCGGTTAATAAAACTATTTAGTTTCCAAGTGTACAATTTTATGACACGTCACCTGTATATTGCATTATGTGTTTACCACCCAAAGTCAAATCTCCTTCTGTCACCCTATATTTAAACCCTTTACCCTATGTTATCCCCTTATGCCATGTCCCTCTAGTAACCACCATATTGTTGTCTGTGTCTATGAATTTCAGTTTTACATCCTACCTATGAGTGAAATCATATGATTCTTAGCTTTTTCTGACTTATTTAGTTTAGCATAATATTCTCAAGGTCCACCCTGTTGTCCCAAAAGGCAGTAGTTCATCTTCTTATGGCTGAGTAGTATTCCATTGCATATATGTACCACATCTTCTTTATCCAGCCCGCTATCACAGGACATGTCGGTTTATGTTCAAGAAGGTTATAATCAAAGCTG